GGTTCACATTCCAAAGTTTGATGAGGCCGCGTTTCTTCTGCAGCGCTTTTGCTTTTAATGGAGCTCATTCAGTCCTGAAAAGCCAATCCAATTAGAAGGGCATTCATGCAATTTGTCCCTCAACTATGGTTCAACCAGATTATTTGTCAATCTTAGAGCTCTCCAACTCCTTTAACAAAGTTTCCTGATTTACGTCAAATTTATTACGTTACGATCAGCAGAAGGAAAAACGATGACAGTGGGCAAAGAAATGTCGTAACATGTCAATATAGACCAGGCAGAACCTGGACAGTAGAAGTACTCATAGGTTTAAAATTGGTCTAGAAGGAAATTCGTTGAGCGAATTTATAAGTTGCAATAAATCTGCTCCAAATTTTGCAGAAGGCACTTCAATCGCTGTGGATAATATCAGCGATACCTATGAATAAAATAGCCTACCTTTGTTCACAGCTTACCCAAGTCACCGACAAGTGAAGATGGAAATTCCGAAGTTGCCGTTTAAGCATACGAATACATTCTCATGGCAAGATGTCAGGCTGGGAAGAACAAGCATCATAATGCATTCTGTATGTGGACATCGGTGAGACTGGGTCCACCTAGCAGCCACCCTGGTCAGATGCTGCATAGTAGTCTGTGGCTATCAATTAGAGAAAGTTAGACTCAGTATAACAAAAAAGACTGACTTGGAGTGTTACCAAGTCAGCTTGATACTTTACATTATTGTTAAACACAAAAAATGAAATTTAAGTATTTGAGTGTCAAGTACTCAAAGTTAAGCCATTGTTCACTTAACGTATCGAGTATAGTGTCACTGCCACTTAGCCTATGGTAGGAAAGATAAATGGTGGAAAACGGTACAACTGGTCGCAAATGAATGTGAAGGCAGGCGCCACTCCAGTGGCGGTAGTGGTGTCTTCATGTTGTGTTTATTTCAGACTTTCAAGAAACGGGGATATCCAAATTTTAAGAAAACTCTCCCATTTTGATTTGTTGCAAGGTAGGTCTCAATCTCGCGCATAAATTCTCGATCATTCTATGCCATCAGGAAACTGGTGCTCCTGTTTGGTTTCCCTGACTTGTCCTTTTTTCCTCTGGTTGTTTAGTATCGAGGTCAAACTGACTTTGTATGCGCCATTTTGCTAACCAAAAAGCATTGTCAAGACCGGGGACAATCAAAACATTATCAATGTGAGAAGAGACGACCACCGCATGTTTTCAGCAGTAGCTACTTAACATTCAGCTGGTCGGCAGTCGCGTCCGCCCAGACCAGCGGCAAAGACACCCATCTGCATTGACGGCGTCGTCATTCTGATCTGGATGATCGCATTTCCAGCACATGCAGAGCAGATTGTAATGGCGGAAATGCCGGTTTTGGCTTAGCTTGACCTTGAAAAACAAGGGCTTGCAACTTGCAGCTCTTTTCTCGGGACCCAGAAGTCGGTCTCAGTACCCAGAACCCGAACTCAGATGTGAGTACGAGGTAACGAGACGTGGAGTGCTGTGACACTTCGAGTCTAGTCGAGTCAAGCCGAGTCTTCCTTGATATTTGGATAGGTTGTGTCACTATGGAAGATTGTTTAGTGGAATAATAAAAGAGCTAGGCGGTAATAGTCAACGTTGCCGACCATGTTGTTTGGTTGGAACGCAGTCTACAAAAATCAAAGAAGCCGGCAATTGAGCAAAAGTTTAAGCTCTGCGTCTCCCCCCTGGCACAGTTGAGTGTTGTACTCGACATTCCGGTCTGTGAGTTTTCTGCATCTAATATCTCAAGGTGGTCACTGTTTTGCAAACCACCCAATAATCAGGAGAGGCAACGGTTAAATTTCTCGTGGAGGAGGAAATATACTTTAACCCGCCGAGCCTCTGCAACAGGGTCACCTGAACTGTTAATCACAAGAATAATTGTCTATTGGCAGAGTTTTTTAAAAGAGCCCTAATTTTGGATTGTAGCTACAGTATTGCTACTCAGCATCTACTTTTGCTTGCAAGAATGGATGCCATCTGCAATTAAATTCAATAATTCTTTACACGAAACTGTATCCACAACTGCACAAGCTAAGCGACTTCATTGCACACCCGTGCTAGATACGCGTAGATGAATACAAAGTTCAAACCAACAGTCCATGATTTTCGTGCGTTCTTCGTTAGTAGTTTCTTAACCATCGTTTACTCATTAAATTTCCCCAACAGACGCAAATGTAAACAAAGAAGAGACACATAACTGTATCTGATTCCATCCTTCATTTATCGCATGTATTTTTTAGTCAGACGTGGGTGCATATTATGAATTCCAAAAATACTTAATTTTGAAGCACATGATTAACAAAGTTTAAGAACAATGGAGGAAACTGATTGGAAGCACTGGCTATTAGGAAAGCAAAATACACACTAGGATGAACGGTCCCTTTATTGCAATGTATAACATTATATATGATGAAGTATTTTTGTGAATAAGATAACGCTTCACTTTTAAATCTAATTTCGCAAATTAGGTTATTGTATGTTCGAATCCATTGACAAAATAAATATTACTAACGCGCAGTTAGCGAGGGTGTGCTCCTAGGGTTTCATTTTAGTTTCCTTTCGCAACATAATTTGCTGTCCATCCATTTATTTCTCGAGGTTTGGAGTCGGTCTCCTCTTCAGGGGTCAATGGCATCATCTCAGTCAGGGGCTTCACGCACAGTAACCTCTTCTCACCTAAAAGGTGCTTTTAAAAAAATATTTATTATGTCATCAGTCGATGAGGAACTTTAAAAACTCCAGTTGCCTAGGTGCTAACCCTTTAGTTTCCTCATGAATGAACTTGAACCTACCTGATACATTGCCCCTGGAACCTGATCTGCCTACTCCTTCACCAGACCGAAAATTGGGTGCAGACGTAGACCCAGTGTAGCTCATTAGTGAAGATTTTAAGAAGCCAGTGAATCAGGGAGAGATGAAGTTTAACCGGAATTTCATAGCTAAGCATGTCAGCATCGACGAATCAGTGAAAATTAAAAAATGAGAGATACATCATTCACTTATGATATGCAACATTCCACGTGTCCTCACAAACCGTAATGTGGAAGTACTGCGTAGGAGCATGACTAAAAGTGCATCGCACGGAGATCAGAGATGCCTTTTAGATAAATACGCATGCAAACGAGTAGCGTTGCGTTGCATGCGCATCATTCACTTGAGTATGCGCAATTTGATAATTGTAGAATTATTCTCCTATCCCTTCGTTAGTGTAGCCACCAGAGTCTGTCCTAAAGACGAAGAAGTCATAATGCGAAGGTAGGAACTGTGGTATTGACGGATGGGGGTTACATTCCTGGACTGAGGGTCACGCCACCCAGTGGAAGTACAAAGGCAGAGTCCTAGAAATTCGTGAGACCAAAACGAAGAGTAAGCAAATAACCCAAATACTGCAGTTAGATTTGTCATATATATCCTTCTACATTTGTATATCTTATTTCGAACCTGATGAATATCCAAAACGCTTTAAAAGAAAAGCTAAAGTATATATCAGCGCTGATTTATGTTTTCTTAATCGTATGCTTATTTGTAACAGCTATTCAACTCCCGCAGTTTAATCGACACCCAAGTATCCCACTCCCAAGAAAGAGGCGACTTCATTTATTAGTAAATTTCGTATGTAACTAACTCTACAGCCTAAAATATCGCTAGTTTACAGTGCACAGCCAGTAACACATGTTGCGAATTTGCATGATTTAAACCGGTACAAAAATGAATGTGTTTAATTAATCTAAAAGGAATTCATAATTCTTGTTGCTAGAATTCTCGAATTACTAAAACCACAAACAGTACCATATTTGTTTTAACGTCTTATTTTGGGTGACACCTAAGGTCTTTTATTGGTATATGTATCCGAACAGGAACAAGTTTATCACTCATAGAAATCTCATCACTGATGAGAATCCTGCTTGTATCACCTATAATGAGCATTCCCTTTTTCCTTTCCAGTTAACTAACTATGTTTCAAACAGAGCCTTTTTTAAGATTTGCATACACTTTGAAGCCACGTTTGCTTATCTGTTTTCTTACATATTTTCATGCAAAGTATTGAGCTTCTAAGTTGATACCAATTCTCGAATACCATATGGGTTGTGGGTCTCTAGCGTCTTACCGAATCCATTTATACTCATGTTTTTTTATGGACTTTACATTACAGAAATCACTTTCAATTCGTTGCAGTGTTTTTACATTCAGCAACTTGTTGGCAACAGTGAAACTTATGTGCTCTGTTGACTTTCCCCTTTTAGCATTAGCAAAATCAAAGACGTCTTTTGGCATCCCGCGTAACTGACTTTAAGTAACATTTGATTTGCAACTTTTTTTTATTCTGATAAGAAAATTGAACTTTTTTCTTTTGACAGCACTGTATAGGTGCTCTGCATCAGTTAGAATTTGTCTATTGATAAGACATTATTTTTGTCAGCGCTTGAAGATGATCTGAGGAGTTGAGCTTCTGTTGCATGAGCAAACTCTTCTATCAGGGGAGACATGTCAAATAGAGCACTGGTGAGCAGCAATATTTAACGTGGCAACCACTTCATCTATGTGAGATCCAGCAAGGTTAAGCTAAGGCCGTACCTGAAATTTGGGCGGATTTTGCCCCTTTTATTAAGTGAATGGAAATTCGAGATGAAAACTGACTACCACTATGTCCCCACCTTTTTAATGCAAAAGTAGTTTTTCTCACTGTCCTAATGGCCAGTCGTGTCCATTGTTCTTTTGCACTGAATGCACAACGTTTTGTTTTGCATCGCGTGCTCAGTTGATTAATAAACCCAGGGAAAGGGATAGCGAAGAAATTAATCGTGCACCGGAGGCACATACGTCAACGTGTGACAGTTTCGGATATCATAGTTGTGCCAGCTGGCAGAAAGGAAGCCTAGTGGGTGAAAGGCAACGTAATCGTGGCCATACTTCCAGTCACTTATGGCTAATGGTACAGAAACTGTAACCCTAATTTGAACAGTTTTCTTTGACAAATGAGGTGCGATCAAGTAAGGGTTTCAGATTTCTCTCCCGTAACCGCTTTCTCAGACCAATCTTCGCAAGTTTACTTAATTATTATTATAAGCACTACCCCGCGTTTGGTTGCCTTGGCTAACCATTGTCGCAAACGGTTAGATTTTAATGTACTTATAATTGCTGCGAGGACAGGGCTCATCGAAATACTTAGAGCCCCAGTCTACTTCTACTCTTCGGCATTTAAAGACGTCCGTATTGATGTTCTCGTCTTCAGATTACTCCGGGGATAGAATGCATAGGCACCAGATTACAAAAAAACTGGGTTTTTCTATTAAGACCCGTTGTCTACTAGCACTTCAGTGACCTTGAAAAATCATTTCCAGTAGCGTCACCTGTAGTTTAACATAAGTGTGCTTGCCATAACTTCTGATGTTTCCAGCTCACCAGTATAAGTTGAGATTTCTCAAGGCGACCATTAGTGGTCAAGCCTGACTTTCATCAATGATGGGAGTTTAAGTCAAACAAGGGCATTGTTGAGCGGCTAGAGATCCAATCGTTGTAACTCCTCCTTCTCTGCTTGGAATCCTCTCCGCTGGTAAATCTTAGCAATCAAAAGCTTTATGTCTTAGTTGACATCGCAATTTGCTTCTCAACACATATGTGTCGGCTGCTACGACAGTAATGATCGTGTAGAGTAGCTCTGCGGTATAGCTCCATTTGGCATTATTTGCGTTAAAATTAAAAATCCCTATTGGGCGTGAACCCACCTCGTTGCACCACGTTTAACTGCTCATGACAAAGCGACATTAGTAATTAATAGATCTCCGTTTTATCCATTCAATCAAACAGTTAATACATTTTGGTAGGTTAAATGTACGATAGTTAAGTTTTTCTCTACATAGATCAGAAGGAACAACGCAGATTTTTTATCAACACATCTATTTTAGATGACCAGTCATTAGTAATTCTGGGGCGTAAGTAGCCGCTTCCTTTAAGGGACCCAAAACCTGCAGTTGTGGTAGGTTACCCAATTCTCCTATCACATTTTCTCTGCTAAACAAACAGATGAAGAGATAGGTGATGTATTAGAGTTGCAGGGAAGTGGCTGAACAAATGGAATGAGAAGTATTTTAACAGGAGGGCAGTCAGCACTTCTGTAATTGAATGAATATACAAACAGACAAGTAGACAGCTTAGTAGTCAGAGGAAAAAACATGTAGGTGGGTGGGAGGATGGTTAGGCAGACAAAGTGGAAGGTTGAGGACATGTGACCGCAGGATCAAAATTAAGGATCGGGCTAAAGTGTATAAGAATAGGTGAAGAGAAGGGCGAATAATAAAACGATAAAGATTTTTTTAGATGTACACCCACACCCCCAATCTCTCACTATCTCCTTTTCTCTTCATCCTCTACTGACAGCGTGGGAAGCTAAGAGCGGCCCACGTAAACGCCTCGTATGTACAAGCGCCGCTGCATAACGCATCGGGCGCCACAATAACTGCGGATTTCAGTACCCCTCCCAACTACATCGCCACTCAAGGCCCTCTCGATTCCACAGATGCCGATTTCCTCACCATGCTCTATGGACAGCGCGTGCCCCATGTAAGTCACTTTTTCTATTCTCTAGGCAGTGCTATTCCATCATGCACTTCTGTCCATTTCTCTGTACTTCATGCCTTACTTTTTTCTAGCCCTTACCTTTTCGCTTGTTTATTTCTCTCCCTTCCTGTTGCTCCCCTTTTTTCGCCAAGCTGTCTGCCATTGCTATTCTCACCAGTCCTTTCATCATCAATACTTGCATTTTATGGGATATCTTTCTCCTCTTTACGAGTAAGCCTATTTTTATTTCCCTGTCCTATCGATCACATCAGTTCTAGTCCCTGACTAATGGTTCTGCCTCACCAGATTTCTCTCAGCTGGATGGAGGATAACTAACCACTAGGCCCCAATATACCTACTTGATTAGTTCACGAATCTTTTTTGCCATCCATTTGTATAAAAGAACAGTTAGAAATGCTTTAAATGTTTAGATGCCCGAAAACACTCGTTTACAGGTCGCAACACATCCCATAGCTTCCGTTATGCGGAGATTACCAATTATCACTCATTCATCAGTTCAAAGGGCAGGCTGAACAGACCCTTCATAAAAAGGCGCAGACAGTCTCTCGTATTCACATTGGTTAGCAGTGTCACATATGCGTGACCTATGTTCTTTATCAGTTTACAATAAGTCGTGCCACGAAAAAATCGGGGTCATCAAGACAATAAGACAGAAACGGAATATTCTTGCTCTGATGATACATAATTTAGTAGTATATAGCCGTTTTTTGGACTACTGCATTCCGCTTTTGGCTAAAATCCCGATGAAGACCATGCTAGGTTGTGCTTTTCCAGTGTGCGCGTCATACGAATTAGCAGAACCTATTTTTGTTCATTGCCTAAACTTGACAATCAAATTACGTTCAAATGAGCTTTGATGAAACTATACGAAATGTTGTTCAGCTGAACAAAGCACGTCCATTCCTCTACATGGTTCTTGATCCTCCTTTCCTATTCCTTCATCCATTTCCCCGTCTACCTTTCTGAGGCTGCGTCTGCTCTCTTAGTCCTCTGCGTATCAATAGTTATACCGATGAGAGAATGTAAACTTCCTAGCTTATGATTTTTCGGTCCAGTACATAGCGGAGCTTGTGCATGTACGCTCCTGTGCCATAATGGCTTTTTGCTCGCCTACAATTTTAGCCCGTTATTTTTTTTTGTTTTCCCATCCAAAAGACAGTTCTACCTTCAGTTCTTTGTCATTTTACCTATTCGTCTCTGCGTTCATTAGCTGTTTCTAGGGGCAGTAGCTTACACCCTCAGTAGACATCTGACGTTTACAAAATAAGCCGGACCTTTGCTGGACCTCGTAACGAATAGGTATGATTATTTCAATGAGTCACAATTCGCTTGAGGAGTGTTACAAAAAGAGCGGTTCGTTTTCTGACCTATGAGAGGGTAGTAATTTGTAACTTTTCGAACAAGTTATCAATAAATGCTTTACGCAAATTTTACTCGTACCCTCATTTTTGAGAAATAACCCACAATTCCTAAAGCAAATTTAAACTGCGTTAAAATTCTTCATGATTTTGATCTTCTCCTATATGCAGTGAGTTACGGGATTGGTAGTGTAAAATGTAGTTTGTCTATTCACCTGGTAAACAATCTTTGCTTAGCGCATTTCATTCTCTTCTCCTTGAGTAGCTAACGTTGGCGTTTTAACTGCTTGGCTGTTTGTGTTCACCCACTGTCTAAGTACACATCCATCAAGCCTAAACGCCTCTGTCTCTGCGATCTTTGCCTGACCTTCTCTACAATGCATCACAAGGACCATCTTTCCTCTTTAGTACCCTGAGTCACCTCTGAAGCCGTACTAAGGCACACCAGTGTACAAGTGGTCAAGTATAAGCGAGTAGGAAGGCTGAAAGGCCAGGCATAAGCCATACTGCCTAAAAGGAAGTGCAGTACATGGAGAGGGTGAAGGGACTGCGTAGTTAAAAATCCACTTAACCTACCGTCAATGCATTCCACCTCCCCTGTTTGTTTACCCACATATCGTCTTTCGTCTGCCTGTCTCCCTCCAAGTAACTGCCTTCTCATATGCCGTTACACTTCGACAACTATTTAGTGTTTTTTCATTGGGTTACACAGTTCTCCGTCGTCAAGCTTTCGCTGTGATCACTTTCTGATGCCGATCAGAAGACAAAGTCGCTTGTCTTTTCGTATTCTCC